ATATATATATATATATATGCAAACGGGTACATCACATGGAAAAGGCAAACAAGGACAATCTAAAATTAAAGTACTACTCTGAAACATAAACACTCGTAGCCTCAATCGATTCGACTGAATAAGAATCACCTTCCAACATTTGAGTCCCCTCCAACACCATCGCCGCTTCTTTCATTGTTGGCCGTTCCCTTCCATTCAAATGCAAACATCTCCTTGCATGGTTTGCAGCAACCGTGATTTCTTCCGTCGAGCCCTTCTTAACTTCATTGTCAAGAATCTCAAATAAACGACCTTCCTCCATTGAATCAATAAAATATGCAACCTAACATCTTCCTTTTCTCGAACTTGTCACATGAGCCGCCTTTTCACCAGTCAACAACTCAATTAGAACCACTCCAAAACTGTGAACATCGCTCTTCTCAGTGTATTGACTGGAACGGAAGTATTCTGGATCCAAGTAACCAAATGTCCCTTGTACTTTAGTTGTCAAATGCGTTTGGTCCATATTGACCGATCTTGAAGTGCCAAAATTCACAACTTTTGCTCTATACTTTTCATCTAAGAGTATGTTTGTCGGCTTGATGTCTCGATGAAAAATGGGAAATGATGCTGCAGAGTGCAAATAGGATAGAGCTCCTGCGACTTCTGTTGCAATTCGCCTGCGCATTTCCCATGTTAATGGAAAATCTTCATTCGGGTCATGAATAAGCTGAGATAGGTTTCCGTTAGGCACAAATTCATAAACTAAAAGAGGGACATCAGTATCCAAACAACATCCCAGCAAAAATATTAAAAGGTATATCAATAAATGATTGTCATTTTTACTGTTAATATAAGTCATTTTATCGTAACCGACTGTCGTTTTAAACCTGAATAATATTGTTGTGAAGAATTACATCTTTCATTTTCTTTTTTTAATAGGCACATCGGGTCATGCATGAACATTTATTTGGAGCAGTACATGACAGTGTTTTATATGCCATATGCTTGAAAATGATTTATGGTTCCTAAAATAGTAACTGTTACGACTTAATACAAGAGAATTACGCTAATCATTTAACTGGTTACGCTAATTCTTTAACCTTTTACAATGAGAGAAGTTTCTTCCATAAAAATGGTGAGGGATTATAGAAAAAGCCATATATATATATATATATATGTGGGTGTGTGTGTGTGTGGAAATTTAGGAAGTAATCCTCTGATCTTTTATTCATTGATTGACGGGTATATATACACATAAGAAAGACTAACCCTAGTCCACAAAATCAGGAACTAACAGATTTATCTCAGGAAATTTAAACTAGGATTACAACAGTTGTGAATACTCCTAATATCCGGGATATAACAAGAATCCTAACGTCTAGCTTGATTTTCTACACTCCCCCTCAAGCTGGATGGTATATACTTAACATGCCTGGTGCTGTGAAGGAACATGTCTTAAGGAGATCACTCTGCTTTCAATCTTCTCACTGATGAAATGCCTGTCTATCTCAACGTGCTTCGTTCTGTCATGGTGTACCGGGTTCTTTACGATGGCTATAGCTGATTGATTGTCACACAACATTTCTATAGGTCCATCTATCCTTACTCTAAGTTCTTCCAGTAGTCACTTTAGCCAAATGCCTTCACAGATTCCATAGGCTAAGGCTGGAAACTCAGTTTCGGCGCTGCTGCGTGCAACTACTGCCTGCTTCTTGCTACGCCATGTTACCAGATTTCCCCACACATATGAACAGTAGCCTGAGGTTGATCTTCGATCTATAGGGGATCCGGCCTAGTTTGCATCTGTGTAGACTTCAAGAGTCCTAGCGGAAGTTTTCCTGAACATTAATGCATTCCCCAGATCCTTCTTGAGATATCTCAGTATCCTGTACACAGCTTCCATATGCACCTCAGATGGATTATTCAAGAACCGACTGACTACGCTGACTGCAAAACTTATGTCAGGACGGGTATGAGCTAGGTAGATTAGTTTTCCCACCAATCGCTGGTATCTTCCTTTGTCGACTGCTACTCCATCGGCTTGAGCTCCTAACTTGGTATTTGGGTCCATAGGTGTTTCAACTAGTTTACACCCGATCATGCCAGTTTCCTTTAGAATGTCTAGAACATACTTTCGTTGCGAGACTGATATTCCTTTGCTTGACCTGGCCACTTCCATCCCGAGAAAGAACCTTAGATGTCTGAGATCCTTAATTTCAAACTCTTTGGAGAGCAAGAGTTTGAGGTGATTTATTTTTTCTTCATTGTTTCCTGTGAGCACTTTGTCATCGACATATACAATGAGCACTGTGAGTCTTTCATCAGTTGAGTGTTTCACAAATAATGTGTGATCCGCTTGGCATTGAGAGTATCCATATAATCTTAGAACCTTGTAAATCTGTCAAACCAGGCTTGGGGTGATTGTTTGAGGCCATACAGTGACTTTTGGAGTTTGCAGACTTTATTCTTTGTGGAGTTGTTCTCAAATCCCGGAGGTAAATCCATGTATACTTCTTCTACAAGATCTCCATTCAGAAATGCGTTCTTCACATCGAGTTGAAATAATGGCCAATCTCGGTTCACTGCTTTGGACAAGAGAACCCGGATAGTGTTTAGCTTAGCAACCGGTGCAAATGTCTCTTGGTAATCGATTCCATAGGACTGTGTACCCTTGGCCACTAGGCAGGCCTTGAATCGTTCCACGCTTCCATCTGCCTTGTGTTTTACCGAGAAGAGCCATTTGCACCCTACAGTGCGTTTTCCTGGTGGGAACGTGGTGAAGATCCAGGTTCAATTTTTCTCAAGTGCTCGGATTTCTTCCTAGGTTGTTGCTTTCCATTCAGGCACTCATAAGGCTTCATGAACGGAATTGGGAATCTAAACTTGATCTAAAGATGACACAAATGCCATATAACCCGGGGACAGGTTTGAATATGTCATGTAGTTGTGGTCTTTCAGCAATCGGCCTATCTAGATCCGAGCCATGATCTGTAAATTTCTCAGCCCAAGGAACAGGAGTAAGTTTTTCCTTACCTTGTGGTTTTTCAAGGGCAGTTGGAGCCGGATTAGACTCCTGGTTCTATTGAGTTTGTACAGGCTCTCCTTATCAGTGCCTTCTTCTTGAGCAGACACTAATCTATTTATTTACTATACTGTGACTTGGGAGATAAGTATGACTCAATAGGTTTGACTCAGGATTTACAGGTTGAGATTCGGTTGGTAGAGGGTTTGCCAGTGTGGGAGGAGTTGGAGGTGTCTCGGCTGAGGGCAGGACTGGTGGATTGGTAGGGACTGGTAGAATAGTGAGAGTATTAGTGGTGACATTGGTTGGTTAGGAGATTATATCAATAATAGAGATCCAATTCTGTGATTTTTGCACATTGCTCTCCCTCTGAATTGCATAATTGGGGTAGAAAGGTTTGTCTTCGAAGAAAGTCACATCCATGGAGTGAAAAAACTTTTTAGTGTTGGGGCAATAACATTTGTATCCTTTCTTGTTGGGTGAGTAGCCCAGAAAGATACACTTTGTAGCTCTCGCATCAAGTTTTCCCTGATGTTGTGAGTGGATGTGAGCAAACACAACCAAAAATTTTAAGTGGAATTTGAGAAATGAGGTGAGAATAAGGATAGGCGTCAAGGAGGGTTTGGCTTGGTGTCTTGTAGTTTAAGATTCGGGAAGGTATTCTATTAATGAGATGAGTTGCGGTGAGAACAACTTCACCCCCGAATCTCGTTGGAAGTGAATAACAAGGAACGAGCAACCTCAAGTAAGTGGCGATTCTTACGCTCGGCCACTCCATTTTGTTGAGGTGTGTCGATGCAGGAACTTTGATGGACAATACCATGAGACTGCAAGTAAGGGTCAAGGATAGTGTTAAAGAAATCTCATGCATTGTCAGTTTTGAGGGCCTGAATATTCGTATGGAATTGGTTTTGGATCATGGTATGAAAGTTTTGGAAGATTTGGCTAGTTTCAGATTTATCTTTCATGAGAAATACCTAGCTTAGCCGTGTATGATCATCAACTAATAGTAAGAACCATCGAGCCCCTGTAATATTTTGGATTTTTGAAGGCCCCCAGATATCCCCATGAATGAGGGAGAATGGATGAGAAGGTTTGTATGGTCACGAAGAATATGTACTTCGAGTATGTTTGGATAATTGGCAGACATCACAGTGGAAAAATTTAGAAGTTTTATTAATGAATAATGATGGAAAAAGACGGTCAAGATACATAAAATTTGGATGACCTAAGCGATAGTGCCACATCATAATAACACTATCTTTATTAGAATGACTCATTGACTCTTGACTTCTACCGGGTTGACTCTGTGGACTAGCACTAAGTGCATTACATCTCAGGTTAATTTGAGAAGATATAGGCCTGCACAAAGCTCAACATTGCCAATCGTCTTCCCCAAATCTAAGACCTGAAATACACAAGATTTAGCAAAAAACTTAGTCTCACAGTTTAAATATTTATTGAGTTTGCTAACAGATAGTAAATTGCAGTCAAGATTAGGCACAAAAAGAACTGAGTAGAGGGTCAGATTTTGTGAAAGCTGGACAGTGCCAGTTCCAGCAACTGTAGAGCATGAGCCGTCTGCAATACAAATGGTGAGAGTACTCGGACATGGACTATAGGAGGATAATAGGGACATATCACCTGTCATGTGATCAGATACGCCAGAATCTACAATCCAATGGGTTGAGGATGCCTTTGCGGCATGAAAGGCCAGAGTGTCATTACCTCGCTAAGGGACTCCCCCTGTGCCAATCACTGACGAGTTGGTGGATGGATGAGCCTGACTAATCAAGTGCTGCAGCATCTCAAGTTGATTCTTGGTGAATGGGGCTTGACTTGGGCTTTTGGTTTCTTCAGCAGAGGCGACGTTTCCACGACTCTCATGATCACCGGATGTGTGGCTGGGCTTCCAATCTGCAAGTTTTCCGTGCAGCTTCCAACATGTTTCTTTGACATGGCCTGGTTTCCAATAGTGATCACACCAAGGTTTTCCTTTGCGTGGCCTGTTATCACTGCGATTCTGAGGAGGTCCACGTACAGCATGTGCAGAAGAGTCTTGGGCTATGGAACTGTCCTTGTGGGTTACTAATGCTGACCCTTCTACAGTCACGGGAACCCCTGGTTGCCCCATCGTAACTCTTTTTCGGCTTTCTTCCCTGCGGACCTCAGAGAAAGCCTCTCGGATACTTGGTAAAGGCTTGGTACCTAAGATCCGGCCACGAACGTCATCGAGAGATTTATTGAGGCCCATAAGAAATTTAAAAACACGCTTGGTTTCCACGATTTTCTTGAAGCGGGCACTGTCATCAGGGCACTTCCACTCAATTGATTCAAAAAGATCTAGTTGTTGCCAATAACGTGTGAGGCTTGTGAAATAGGCAGTAACTAAGAACTTGCCTTGTCTGAGATCGTGCAAAATACTCTCGATATGGAAAAGTTCAGTAGTGTTTTCACTGCTGGAGAAAGTGTCATGGGCTGCATCCCAAATTTCCTTTGCAGTGGAATAAAGGAGGAAATTCTCGCCAATTTCTGTAGTCATGGAATTGATCAGTCACGACATCACCAGGTTGTTCTCGGCTCTCCACACCCTGAATTGGGGATCATCTGGTTTTGGTTGTGCAGCGGCTCCAGTGAGGTAGTCATCACGGCCCCGGCCACAAATAAACATCATGACGGACTGAGACCATTGAAGGTAGTTATGAACAGTGAGTTTATGACTGGTCACAGGGATAAGGCTACCTTCGAATGGGACTGGATTATTCAGGGATGGAAGAGCAGTGGATGAGGTACCACTAGTTGTGGAGGTTTGTTCAGATTCCGCGGGAAAGAGAAAAAAAAAATTGAGAGGAGGATTGTCGGAGATGGTCAGCAAGCGGAGAACTGCTTAGTGACCAGAAGATGAACGGCGGCAGAGTTAGGGCTCAGAGTTGCTCTGATACCATGTGGAAATTTAAGAAGTAATCCTCTGATCTTTTATTCATTGATTGACGGGTATATATACACATAAGAAGGACTAACCCTAGTCCACATAATCAGAAACTAACAGATCTTATCTCAAGAAATTTAAACTAGGATTACAACAGTTGTGAATACTCCTAATATCCGGGATATAACAAGAATCCTAACGTCTAGCTTGATTTTCTACAATATATATAATAAGGCTTTTTGTGTGGTCCATGACAAGAAAAAGGCAAACAAGGACAATCCAAAATTAAAGTACTACTCTGAAACATAAACACTCGTAGCCTCAATCAATTCGATTGAATAAGAATCACCTTCCAACATTTGAGTCCCCTCCAACACCATCGCCGCTTCTTTCATTGTTGGCCGTTCCCTTCCATTCAAATGCAAACATCTCCTTGCAAGGTTTGCAGCAACCGTGATTTCTTCTGTCGAGCCCTTCTTAACTTCATTATCAAGAATCTCACATAAACGACCCTCATCCATTGAATCAATAAAGTGTGTCACCAAACTTCTACCTTTTCTCGAACTTGTCACATGAACCGCCTTTTCACCGGTCAACAACTCAATTAGAACCACTCCAAAACTGTAAACGTCGCTCTTCTCAGTGTATTGACTGGAACGGAAGTATTCTGGATCCAAGTAACCAAATGTCCCTTGTACTTTGGTTGTCAAGTGCGTTTGGTCCATATTGACCGATCTTGAAGTGCCGAAATCCGCAACTTTTGCTCTATACATTTCGTCTAAGAGTATGTTTGTCGACTTGATGTCTCGATGAAAAATGGGAAATGATGCCGCGGAGTGCAAGTATGATAGAGCTCCCGTTACTTCTATTGCAATTCGCCTGCGCATTTCCCATGTTAATGTAAATTCTTCATGCGGGTCATGAATAAGCTGAGATAGGTTTCCGTTAGGCACAAATTCATAAACTAAAAGAGGGACATCAGTCTCCAAACAACATCCCAGCAATTTAACCACGTTTCGATGGTTGATCTGCAAGAGAATGAGAACTTCGTTAATGAACTCGGTGAGTTTTGCTTCGTCGACAACTTTAGACCTTTTCACGGTGACTATTTTTCCGTCCGCCAACATTCCTTTGAACACGGTGCCCTGACCTCCTTGGCCAATAATTCTATCCTCATTGAAATGATCAGTGGCCTTCTCCAACTCCTTTGCATTAAACAACTTGATTCTCTCCATACTAGCTCCATCGCTTGGAGACATTTGCTTTTGTAACAACAAACCTCCATTCCGCTTGAAAAATTTCTCCTTCCGTTTGACGTCCTTCCTTTTCATCATGAATTTGTAAAAGGCCAATGCAGGAACAATTATAAGCAGGACCCCAAGACCAGTTCCAAAGCCTACATGTTTATAACCCAAATAAAATGAGTTAACCCAAAGCGGTTGTAAATTTTAAATTAAAAAGGTTGAGATAGTTTGTTAAGGGTGTAACTCTGAAGTCGTTACTGAATTTGTTCTTACTAACATCAACAATTTGTCAAACCAAATAATTTTGTCTTTATTTATTTATTTATTTGTGTTGATTTATGTTTCAGTTTATTTTTCTATTTGGTCAGAATAGATTTGTGTTCTTCCTTATTAACATATTCTTTACACCTAAAATTCTCTTCAAGTATTAATGCTTGTTCAGCAATTTTGGGGCAAAATCCACTCTGGTTGAAAAGTGTACCTACTACCTAGTGGTGGTGTGTTTATATATATATGAGTGTGTTTTTAATGGTTACTCTAATATTTATCCATCGATAGGTATTATTATTTTAATAGTCAGATATTGATCCTATGGTTGTAATAAATTAGGTAGTTGACAAAAAAAAATTACAATTAATGAAATTAGATTTTTATTGCGTCACGTTATCAAATTACTATATTTAATAGGTGACCATCGATGGAGATGTTACCAATAAAAACTCATCCATATATATCATACCACATAAGCATGTAAATGTAACAATATTTTTTAATATTTTTTAATGCTTTCTTGATGAAATTTAGTAAAGGCATTATTAACAAAAGTAATACAAACATACCTACAATCATGGGGAGTGTCTTACTGTGCGATGAATCCTCAATGCATTTGTAAATCCCACGATGTTTCACACAAACGTCTTTCCGTCGCCCACATGGTTTAGAATCCGGATCACATTCACTAACCGCTAAAACAAAGTAAACAAAAATTTGAACTCATTTAAAATAATTAGTATCCAACTAAACCACTACCCGAGAAGGTTAAAAACGTTAGTTGAGAAAATAAACAAAATTTAAAATGTAATTATATGGTACATTTTTATTTGTTGTCTCTTTCTAGATACATTACTACGTAAGTATAGTTTTAAAATATTAGTTTTAGATATTAAATTAAACCAAGATCGTATCATAATCAAATAGCATAGGGCTCTTTATACATAAAGCAAAATTTAAATAGTGGAGTTCAAATATAGCATAATTAATAAATTAATACTGCAAAAATAGTAAAATTCGATATAATTGAAACAATGATCATATCATTATACAGTATAAAAAATGTCATCATTATGATAATTACTATGTCATTTTTTATATTTTTACAATATTTTGATAATATGCTAAATTTCAAATCAAGGTATGAAATTTTGTTATGTAGAGGAAATATCTCAAAAGCGTACTAACATGACAATTGAAAACGACACAGTATTAGTAGGGCACTTTTTTGAGTAAATATTATCAGTACGCCCTAAATTTTAAATATTTGACAATTCGGATCATGAACTTCAATTTTTGATACTTAACACCCTAAATTAGAAATTCATTGCAATTAGAGTCCAAGGCTAAGTAAAAGGTGCGACATGCAAATGATGTTACGTTTAGAGTGCAGGCATAAAGGAAATTTACCGTTTTCTTTTTTCTTTTTTTTTTATACCAAATATCAAATAATTACTAAAATAAAATCAAAAGTAAAAAATCCTTCATAATCATAATTCACAGAAATAGAGAAATACATGACATCGTACAACTTTACCTAGACAGCCATGTAGATCATAGGGATTTCCCTCGTATCCCTCTTGGCATCTACAAAAGAGTGAAAGCTCATCTCTTGTAGATCTGGATTGTTTTGTGTTGCAAACGACAGTGGAGTTTGGAATGACACTCATAATGTTTTTTTCTAGAGCTTTAACATAATCCAAATTGTATAGTAAATCCCAATTTAGGACCACAGGAACGTGCGTCATACCTGGAACACCAGGCGAAAGCACTTCCGTTGAATTACGCAACCATTCTTGGTCAGCGACGAATGCATACTTGCATATTCTGTTGTCGTAATTCTCTTTCGCGCCATTGTTGTTGTCGCGATTCCCTTTCGTGCCATTATTGTTCGAGAAAGCTTCTGGGCTGAAATCGATTATCAAGTCTTTTGTGTAGGAAGGAATGGTGGTGTGGCAGCAATCCAATCCATCGCAGCTGCTCTTATTATTGTTATTATTACTATTTGATGAACATATTGATGAACAACCAGCGTGAAAATAATCGTCTTTTAATTTGGACTCTATATAGGCGAACCAACCGCAACTCAACGCGTTGAATCTGTTGCGTCTCTCGGAAAAAACAAAGGGACTTCCTGTCAAATTCACTGGTTGAGTAGGCGTTTGGCTATGACTACCTGTTCACATTTTGAAATGTTATCTCTAGTAGAGATCATAATATATACTTGAAATTTTAGCACCAAATTGATCGACTATTATAGTTACTAATCGATTCTAAAAGCACGAAATCGCAAATGCAGAGGTTTTTAATTTTGTCTAACAGTAATGTTATTATATATTATAATATCAAGTACTAAAATATTTTGTAACATATAAACCTATATTCTTGTGCATATATGGCACCAAACATATACACACACACACATATTTATGAATAGTGAGAGGGAGCAACTGATATCAAAAGTAATTAAAATATGTTAAGTAATAGGCAGACAATTAAAAGAAAAAAACACAAAAAATCAAGTAGCTGAAAATCACTGCTTTACGGGCTTTACTTTAAATATTACCTGAGCAATTTTCGGAAGTAATAGGGTTTGTTATCCGGAGTGTGCCGTCTGTGGAGATATTCAGCACTTGGACCTTCAACTTTCTGAGGAAAGGAGTGTGAGGGATGACCGATTTGTTGCAGACTATCTCGAACCATTCGCCGTCGATGGAACACCCCCGTCCGATTCCGAACGGAAAAGGAACCGTCACATTTCCGCACTGTGTTTGGCAATGATCAGCAGCCCTGGTGATTATCTGCGTTTTTTTCTATGATCGTGACGCACTTGTGATATTAACAGCCATGCACATCAACGTTAAGAGAGCAACAAGAAACTTTACCATCTTTTCTGCTGAATTATATCACTACTTACTAATTGTTTCTTTGTTATATATTTTGCTTTCTTAGTAGACGTCTTGCATATTCACTAAAGACAGACATTAATCCTTTATATAGACTATTATTTTAACAAATTAATTACATTAACTTTTTCCTCTTGAAATAAATTTAAGGTTCGTTTGGTAGATGGAACCAGAATCATGATCCTGGATCTTAGTTCAGAATCAATATTTATTTATAGTGATTCTGAACCATGATTCAAAATCAGTATTTGGTTTGGATGATTCTGAATCATGATTTAAAATCTGATGTGATGTTTTAAACTAGTTCAAATCATGATTCTAAAACCACCCCTCTCTTGATTTAAGGTGATTCAAACTCTTGAGTCTGAATTATGGTTTTAGAATCATGATTTGAACCCAAAATCATGAATCATAATTATAATTCTAAAATCATAATTTAAATTATCCTAATTTAAATTATCGTACCAAACGAATCCTTAGATATACATGTGAAACACGGTTGATCACTATTCCTAGTTGATATATATCTTATCCATCATAAAGATAAAGTTACCTTAAAGGAGTCGCCACAAAAAGATTCTTTTTCCTACACGTTACAAATTGTAAAAGTTGGTCCAAATATTAGTACGTTTTTCTTCTCTGCCGTCAAAATCTTAATTTAAGATAACATGATGGATTCGTGGCTATGAATTATCATAATATTGTTTTTGGGAGTTTGCATTCATATGTATCTTTTTGTTATTCATTAGGTAATTAAGTAACGACAAGAGACAATATAGTTTATTAGCACATAAATTCACATGGACGCGGGGCCATTAACAACTTTATTATAGATCAAAATCTTTTTTCATAATACAAAAAGAAAAAGAAGATCAAAATATTCAACTCAAATTCTTTAAATAAATTAATCAAAATGCAAGGTTGCATTTCAAAATGAATTCGAACTCAAATGATCTGCGATTCGTATAGTCAGAATGAATCAAAAAGCACCGGTATCCTCAGCTTCTAACGCTGGCAGTTCCTGCGCCGTCAACCACTAGTCTTACACCCACAAACCAGGATCATACAATTTTGAGTCCTAGTTCCTCCAAAGGAGCTGGACCAACTAATACTGAAAGTTTGAACAACTCTGAACAATGAAAATAGGATCCTATATATCCCCAACACTATTCCTAGTAAGGACAAAATGCCCTCTACTAGCAAATCCTATGGTCCTCAACATGTCATCGATTCGCAAGATTGATATTTCGTCGTCAAATAAACCCACTGGTCCATGTCCGAAATCTCCATGGTATAAATTTAGATCACGTTAGTCTTGCTGAAAGATTGAAATGCTTTGCCTGATGATTATCTCTATTTTTCCCTATTTTTTCTATGAAAAGTTCTGTATATTTATCTCTCAAAAGACTGAAAGTTTAAAAGTTTGAAATGCTTTGTCTGATCCGGGCATCACTAATAATCCTACCCCTCCACTAAAGTCGATCTATACAACTCATTAGCTCCACTATCATCCAATGCCAAGAAGGATAGGGCTATTATTGGTGCCCGCATTAGACAAAGTATTTCAATCTTTCAGTCCTTTGACAAACATAAATAGACGGAACATTGCATAGAAAAAATATCTCTATTTTTTCCTTGAGAATTATCTCACCATGATTCATGAAATTTATATACCATAAAATATCACTTTATTTTCTGGACTTAATTCACAAATGTAACTTCCTTAATAAGATTTTATTTCTTATCTCGGTTTTCTTCTTGCCCATTGCCTCGATCGTGAGTACGTTGAGGTCAAATTTCGTACCTCATTTCTCACCGTACACGCGTTAACACACATCTTAGAGAATGAGGGCTAAATCCCGAACCAACAGCCAGAATCACCTGCGAGTCACTGGCAGCCTGCCAGTTACAGGTAGTCAAACAAGTTACCAGCGGATAGCAAGCCATTTATCAGTACATAACCTCCCTAAGTTAAGGAACAGCCTGTCAAAAATGATTCAAACTCATCTAGAACAAGGTGCAAGCTTCTGATAGCTTGCGGGTCATGACTCGACGAGCTGCGTGATTGCCTCAATGACTTGGTGCCCAAGTTACTGCATTAGGATTAGATTATGTATGATTTTCTCTATTCAAATCGCCCAATATTAGCATTTAAACAAAGATATCTCCTCTAGAAAAGGAGTTATCACAAATCCTAGTTTAAATATTCAAATATCGGTCTTATATATAGGATATCTCTTATGAGAATTCAAGCAAAGATCTTATCCTATAGATATTTAGCCACTAAGTGTTGAAATATGGGTGTTATTCACGTCACCATCATCCTTTACATGCCCAGAGAATTGCGCACAAGTCATAGGTCTCGTTCATTTCACCGATTCGAGTTTAGAATTTAAGTTTTACTACAGTAAAAGCTCTCAGAAACAGTCACATCTAACTTTTTTACTACAGTAAAAAGCTCCCACATAAAGTCACATCTCAACTCGAATTAAAAACTCGAATCAGCAAACTAAACAGGCCTGTAGTCTCCAACAAAATTGAATTTTGATTTTGATTATTATGTTTCTAAACATTTAATTACTTTCCTAATCATGTTTAACTTCTAAATGAGCCTCCACGTCACTAACCCCTGCTTTGGGGTGTGACAAGACTTGGTATCAGAGCCTTAGTTTTAAAAACTCCAAGATTGTACATACATGTGTGACATCAGGAATCCAATAAACAATCTAGTTTCTTTTCAGTTAAAGGAGATGTCGCCACGTCATAGGTCAGTTAATCAACCGGCACCACCGAATGTGGAATTCATGGATGCCATGTGTGCCGTTTTCCAAGGGATGGCCACTCAAGCTCAGAATGAGCGATCAGCCAAAGATAGAAAGCAGAGTTATTTCTGAGAATTTTGACGTGGACCTATCCCCGCATTCAAAAATGAGGGAGGACCGCAGGAGGCAGAATATTGATTCGACTCCATAGTAAAACATATGAACACAGTGGGAATACTGGAAGGCCAAGCAAGTATGGTGGAAGCAAGAAAGGAGAAGGCATGATGTTGTGGCAATGACTTGGGATCAGTTTGAAGCCCTCTTTAATGAACAACACTTCCCTCAAAGTTATCAGGATTAAAAGGCAATGGAGTTTATGTCCTTGCAACAAGGTAACATGTCGGTGAAGGAATATGAGGCTAAATTCAATGACTTATTCCGGTTTGCGCCATCTTTGGTATAGTTTGAACACCTAAAGAGCCTTAAATTTGAGAAAGGTCTTAAGAATTCAATAAGGAGGCCATTGGTGGCTCTAAGGATTCAAAATTTTTTAGAACTGATGGCTGCTACTATAAGCGTGGAGCAAGATAACCAAGCTTATCATCAAAGTAGGGAAGCAATTAGTCGAGTTTCTATTTTTGGTGGACCTTCTGCTTTAGGTGGGCCACAACGGAATAGTAGAAGGAATCGTAATCAGGGGCAGATCAGTGGAGAGATGGTCAGTAGTGGTAGTAGTTCGTCTGAAAGTGATATGAGTGGTCCTTATAAACCCAAGTGCCATCATTGTGGACACATTGGCCATATTAGAAGAAACTGTCCTAATCAGAATTGGTCGCCGACTCAACAGCCCCAGAATGACACTTCCTATAGTCAAGAGAGGCTACCACAGTTTATGCCACCATACCAGCCACAATTGTCAACACCAATGTCATTCCCTCCTGAGCCAACCTATCGGCCGCCCTATTATCCACAGTTTTGGCTTCAAGCGTCAAGATCAGTGCATTTGCCTCTGCCACAACAGTATAGGCCATGGAACCAACAGCCCAATATTGGTGATAAAGGAAAAGGGAAAGCGCAGGGACAAGCTTATACCCTGACAGGAGGCAGTTCTGGATGTCAGGCCAATAACACTGTTGTTGAGGGTATGATTCTTATCTCCCACTCTTTAGCACATGTGTTGTTTGATACTGGTGCTACACATTCTTTTATATCAAGTTCTTTTATTCAAACATTGAAATTGAAATCTGAGAACTTGGAAACCCCGATTATTTTGAACTCCCCACTGGGATATATGGAGGTAATTAGTGTGTGTAGATCGTGTGAAATCACGATTGGAGGTGAGCGATTGAGAGCTAACCTAGTAATCCTTCTAATGAGTTTATTTGACGTGGTGCTCAGAATGGATTGGTTGTCAAAATACGGTGCAATTGTTGATTGTTACCGTAGAAGAGTAACTTTGATGACCAATTCTGAAGCGGTAATTACTTATCAAGCGGACATGAATCCAGTCCTGGAAGAATGACTATTGAGATATAGCATTGGAGGATAGAGAGACCTAGTCTGTTTCTCTTTCCTTCTTGCTTTGGAAGGTGAACCCGATGTAACTGGAGATAATATATAGATTCCTGTGGTGGATGAATTTACGGATGTTTTTCTGAATAAGTTACTTGGTTTACAGTCAGATCAGGAGACTGAATTTAGTATTAACTTGATATCGGGAACGACACCTATTTCCATTCCTCCTTACCGAATGGCGCCTGCTGAAATGAAGGAATTAAACAAGCAACTCGGTGAGTTAGCAAAAAAATGGTATATTAGGAATAGCATTGCCCCATGGGGGCACACCTGTGTTGTTTGTTAAAAAGCATGACGGATCTCTTTAGGTGTGCATTGACTATCGTCAATTGAATAAAGTATCTGTGAAGAATAAATACCCATTACCGAGAATCAATAAGTTATTCGATCAGTTGGGTGGATCACAATACTACTCTAAGATTAACTTGAGGTCAGGATATCATCAGCTTAAAGTTAAGGAGGAAGACATATCGAAAACTACTTTTAGAACTCAGTATTGGCATTTCGAGTTTCTAGTGATGCCTTTTGGGTTGACAAATGCCCTAGCTGCATTTAAGGATTTAATGAACTAGGTCTTCCGGCCTTACTTAGATCAATTTGTGATTGTCTTCATCGATGACATCATGGTTTACTCGAAAACTTGGGAGGAACATGAGCAGCATTTGATAATTGTTCTTCAAACTCTTCATGAGCATCAATTGTATGCGAAGAAGGAGAACTGTGACTTCTGGCTAACGGAAGTGAAGTTCTTTCAACAAGTAATATCGGGACAAGAAATTTTCGTAAATTCTTCAAAGATTGAGACTATGTTACATTGGGAAAGGGCAAAGAATGTAGCAGAGATTCAAAGTTTCCTCGGACTTGCAGGATACTATCAGCGTTTTGTGAAAGATTTCTCGAGCATTACTGCACCGATGACTCGATTGACCAAGAAAGAAGTCAAATTCGAATGGGACGCTGACTGTGAACATGCTTTTCAGGAATTGAATGCCAGACTACCAAGTGCACCAGTCCTGACCATACCCAATAGCGAGGAACCATATAAAGTATATTTTGATGCATCAAGAAGTGGGCTTGGATATGTTTTGATGCAAGGTGGACGCGTTGTAGCCTATGCATCTCGACAACTAAAACCGCATAAACGAAACTACCCCACTCATGACTTGGAGCTAGCAGCGGTAATATTTACTCTAAAGATATGGAGATTCTATCTTTATGGGGTAAAATTTCAGGTCTTTTCTAACCACAAGAGTTTGAAGTACTTGTTTACTTAAAATGATTTGAATCTCAGGCAGAGAAGATGGATGGAATATATGGAAGATTATGATTTCACGCTGTAATATCATCCTGGAAAAGCTAATGTGGTAGCTGATGCCCTTAGCAGGAAGACTACAGGAACTATGGCGTCATTAGCTATGGAAGATTGGAAAAGAACTGAATTAGTAAGTGACTAAGATCTTCAATACTATAAGGATTCTAACCAGACAATGGTGTATAATCTTATCTCCACTCCGGCCCTTGTGTAACAAGTTAAGTAGAATTAGTGGCAGGATCCCCATCTTCAAGGAATTTGGATTCAAATTCAAAACGGTGAACAACTTGAGGATTGAAAATTCTGGTAAAATGGAGCACTTTATTTCAGAAACTGGCTACCTGTTCCAAAGGTAGATGAGATCAAGAAGATAATTCTGCACGAAGCCTATAAGTCACGATATGCCATTCATCCTAGAAGTACCAAGATGTACCAGGATCTTAAAAAACAATACTGGTGGAGAGGTATAAAGAAAGAAATTCGTGAACGTGTTTCAGAATGTGTAACTTGTCTCTGAATTAAAGAGGAACACCAGAAGCTTGCTGGAGAATTGAAGCCTCTTCCTATTCTGGGATGGAAATGGGACCACATCACTATGATTTTTTTTATGGGACTTCTGAGAATTGAGTAGAAACATGATGCCATCTGGGTGTGGTGGACAGGTTAATGAAATCTGCACACTTCATACCGTTCCGTGCGACATATTCCTGGAAGATTCTGACAGAGTTGTATCTGGAACACATCGTGAGACTTTATGGAGTGTCGTTGACCATCACATCTGATCGCGATACTTGTTTTAATGCGAGGTATTAGAAAAGTTTCCAGGAAGCCAAGGGAACATAATTGAATTTTAGCACAGCATTTCATCCTCAGACTGATGGGCAATCTAAAAGAGTTATTCAAATTCTGGAGGATATACTTCGTGCTTGCATTCTGGACTTTGGTGAAAACTGGAATAAATATCTTCATCTTGCTGAGTTTGCTTACAATAATAGCTATCAAGCTAGTATCAGTATGACACCGTTTGAAGCTCTTTATGGTCGACCCTATAGATCACCTCTTTCTCAGCTGGAACCAGATGATAGACGTACTACTGGACCAGAAGTTATTCAAGAGAACAACGAGAAGATAATTGTAATTTAGGAATGATTATTGACAGCTCAACGTTTAAGCTAGTATCAGTATGGCACCGTTTGAAGCTCTTTATGGTCGACCCTATAGATCACCTCTTTCTCGGCTGGAACCAGATGATAGACGTACTACTGGACCAGAAGTTATTCAAGAGAACAACGAGAAGA